AACTGGAGATATGCAATCACTACACTAAAACAGAGTACCAGAAGCTGCCCTTTACAATGGCAAATAATGTTAATGGAATACATTTAACAGGTACCTAAATTTTCTATTTACTACTGAGGCATATCATCTATTTGAAGCTAAGTACTAAGCAAAAGAATGTTCAACAAAATAGTCTGATACATTTTTAACTGGAAAAATAAGAGATAACATTACATTAAAAAAAGCTAAAGACTCTAGAGTCTTCAATTTTCTTTAATGGAAAAATCTCAAAACACCTCAGAAAGCAATAATCTTAAAAAGTCAATCACAAATGTACCCAACGTTATCAGTGCACCTCAAATCATCTAATTTGTACTATTGTATTATTAGTTCATTCACTAAATTCAGCCCCTTGATTTGTCCTCACTCTCCATCCACTCTCCCCACCAAATATTTTTCAAATATGTTCTCCCAGTTTGGAAACTTAGATGTGATACAAGTACTCTCAAACCTTCAGAGAGATGTAAAACCACTGCAGCCCCAAGTTACCAATATCTGCTGTCTTATGGAACTCACCAATAAAAGCCAAAGAACTGAAACAACTCTCATCAACTTCCTCTACCACAAAAAACAGTGAGCACTGACTCGAAACTTAAGTGGTGTGTATTCATTAATTCAACAAATATTGGAGGCCTACTATGTAAAGGCATTGTGCAAGGCACTGATAATATAACTATGAAAAAGATACAGATATAACCCTGCCCTCAAGGAACTTCCATTCCAGTGAGGAAGAGAATCCAAAAACAAGTTCAGTAAACACACTAATATAATCAAATAGTGATCTGAATTCTACCAAGCAATTTTATTCTCATGACCCAGTTTACTACATATATCATCCTAAAAGCATTTCAGTTAATCCACTTGGTTCTTTGAAACCACATACGCATAATTATGTTTATTTAAATGAAAACTAATTTTGTGACCAAATAGTTCTGAAAACTTAGACTTGAATATGTAATACATCCTTTCCAACAGAATTAAAAAATTAGCTGCTAGGTATTCACAGCAGCACTATTCACAATAGCCAAAAAGTAGATAGCCCAAATGTCCATCAATGGATAAACAAATTGTGTGTGCGTGTGTGTGTGTATGTATGTATGTATGTGTGTGTGTGTGTATATATATATATATATAATTAAATATTCAGCCATAGAAAGGAATAAAGTACTGATACGTGCTACAAAGTGGATGAACTGTGAAAACACTATGTTAAATGACAGAAATCAGACACAAAGGGTCACACATTATATGATTCCATTTATATGAAATACCCAAAATAGGTAAATCCACAGATACAGATCCCATATTGGTGGTTGCCAGGGGCTAGGAGAGAGGTAGAGGTAATAGGGAGCAACTATTTAATAGGTACAGGGTTTTCTTTTGGGGTGATGGAAATGTTTTGGAACTAGATAGAAGCAGTCTTGCAAGCACAATACTGTGAATGCAATAATGCCGCTAAATTGTTCACTTTAAGATGCTTTATTTTATTCCTATGTAAAATCACCTTAATAAAAAAGACTTAAAAAAATTACCTGCTATAATATTTTAAAATGGCCTTTTTGTCACAAATAAACTGCTATGATTATCTTTGGGAATTTCAGTTATAAATCAAGTTACAAACCTTAACTCCTTCTACACCCATTTTAACATCAAAATGTTTTTTTTGTATATGGCAAAAATCATTTTTAAAAGCCATTTTCATGGCTTGTGTTATTGAATATGTTACACGTACATTTCAATTCCTACTTACATGATGACGCTCTTTTATTATTCACATACTTGGTTAACACCTTTATTCATCATATATTTGGTATACAATGCACTCTAATCAAGTTTGTGCCCAATAAAAGTTTGCTGACATCAACTGTTTATCTTTTTTACAATAAAAATATTCATTCAAACAAGTTGTTGTTAAGTCCCAATACCTAAGTACAATTCAATGCCACCCTCTCTACAAATGCCACTTTTCCCATTTCTTCTTCTATTATAAAATGCATCACCATTCACAGGATGTCTAGCAACATAGTTATTTGGGCTACGTGCTTCCTCCAACTATTTTCCAAACTCCTTGAAGAGACTCAGTTTTTTTTGGCATATCATAATACTACAAAGTGCCTAACAATAACTTCAACATAATAGGTGCTCAAATTATGTCAGCGGAACTGAAAATAAACGCAGCCAACACATAACTACTGTAAATTATTTATTATGCTGAAAAACACATCTAACATATAAAGACTAAAAAGGACTGATAAAACAAGTACCGCCCAAAGAACCCTTACGCCTCACGTTCAGACATGTTTCAACTCTACAGAACAGTCTACTGAACATGACCATGAACAACATTAAGTAATTCACCTAATACCTGGAAAGAATAAATAGGGATTACTCTTATCCATTTCCTTTTTGAAGTTCGCCTGCATATGTAATAGGGAAACTGAACTTAATGAACTACAGTATACCAAACGAGGTCACAAAAGAGCTCTAGGTCCCCAGTCATCCTGTTTCTATTTCCTGATTGGTCTGACCTGCAAGCATTACGGTGCCCAGCCTTCGCAATTCAAGATCTCCTTTAAAATATCTTCTGAAGAGAGCTTTTTCTTAAAATAAAATCTGCCATCCAGAACTTTCTAACGAATTATGAAAAAGGCACCTCACTTTGAAAAAACTTCTGAAACACTTTACTCAATCAAGGAAACCCAGTTTTCAGAAGAGTACCGTTACAGTTACACTTCGAATTAACTGTGGGCCGTAAACTTAAGCAGAAGTTAACTCAAAAGCATTACTCTCCCAGCAAGGAAAACTTAAAGAAACATGTGCATGAATTTTAGAAGGATCCTACAAATCGAAGAATAAGCACCTTTCAAATAAGAATTTTTAAAAACCACCTAGAATAGATGGAAAACCAAGGGCACTTACACTTCACAGGGACATTTTCTCTGCACCACACTGGCAAAACAGCGACAACCAGACGCCAATAGGGCATCGGCCCCGACCCTCAGCCTCAAAACCCCGGGGGTCCATCAGCCACAGGCGTCCCTGAGTCGCGTTCCCTGCTAGTTCGCTTCCAACCCCACAACCACTTCCACGTCGCACGACCCACACGCCTCCTCACTGATTTAAATCCGTACTTCACTCACAGCACGAGCGCGCGCTCACGAACACACACACACACACACACACACACACACACACACGGGGTTATCAATCCTGGGGCAACCAAGCGAGGGAGAGGGCGAACTCGCGCGAGCGAGGAGAGGGGACGCTCCTCAGTCCCGCCCGGCACCCACCTGCAGGCCGCGAGCCCGGGGGCGGCGGCGCCGGCGCCCCTTCCTCGCCGAAGACGAGTTTGAAGTCGAGCTCGTCGTGGGCGCCACAGTTTGCAGTAGTCATCGGCGTGGCTCAGGGTGCTGCGGCTCCTCCTCGGACGGCGGCGGCACCAGTTCCTCAGCGCCGCTTCATGCCGGGCCGCGCCGGCCAGGAGGTCGCGGCTCCACGGCAAACTTTCCGGGTGAGGCCCGCAACACCAAGCTTTCTGTTCCGAAGCAGAGATGTGGCCGCCCGCCTAGCCGCACCAATAACCGACGCCGCCAGTTGCGGGTGCCTAAGCCGCCACTGTCGCCTCAGCCAACGTTCCCCGCCCCCCAGTAGTCGCCACCACTGCCGCCGCGGGTGCGCTCTCGCGCCGTGCTGCGCGCCTGGCCCCGCCCCCTACCGCGCGCCCATCCGGCCCAGCTGCGGATAGGCCGCTAGCGCCGCGGACCAGCTTAGAGGGACCCGCCCCCTCGCCGGCCTATCGCGTGACTCCCTCTACCGGAGAAGGAAGTCACCTGAATACGGAAAACTAGAGAGTCCTGCTACCTCTCGGGAGTTGTAGTTTGGCCCCCATTTCCTCTGCTACTCCTCCTAAGCTAGACGGATGTAAGGCCGATAGCCCTAACTGGAAGGGGAACCCACCATTGGCCAATCGGAGATCTCTTTCATTACTGGGCGGGGTTATCGTCGAGGAAGGGGCGCAGCAGAACCGAGGCTACGGGGTTGGCGATGGGCGGCGGTACTATGTTGCTCATGAGGGCTGGCTTTAGAGGAGGCATCAGGGTACCGCAGGATTATCTGGACGCCACGCACATCCTCATCCCCCCCCTTCAACCTTAATGGCGGTGTATTGAGAGGGCGGGTACCGGAGCGAGCTTCCAGCTAGGTTGGGGCGGAGCCGAGGGAGACAGGTTGCGCGACGAGTTGCGAATCTGAGCTCGCTGTCACTGCAGAGCCACCCCTGCGGGGCGGGGCCCGCGCCTCAGTGCCTATGTCTTTGTTCCCGGTAGCCGGGCCCGGCAGCTGCTCCCTTGAGAATAGTTTGCGGATTCGAGGACTCCGCGAAGCACGATGGGCAGGGCTTATTTCTTGCTGGAAGTTGAGCAGATAGAGCGGGAAAGCCCGTTGTGAGCTTGTGCCACTCAGCTCTGTGACTTCTGCATCCTGATGCACATCTATGAAAGCAGGAGGGATCCAGCCACCCAAATTGGGTGGCTGGCAGTGGGAAGGAAGTGACACTGCCTGTAAGAACCGTTTTCGCTCTTGCTCCCTCCCCAGCGAGGCTTCATTCCCTTGAGATGGCCCAAGAGGCCTCATCTTGGGGTCTGGGGTTGGAGACTGTGACCTGGGACTCTGGCTTGTTTACTTAGGCTTGTTTACTTAGGGCTCCGCTGAGGCACAGGGTAGACTGGGAACTGGGAGAGGTTGTGGTGACTGCCTCCCCTAGCTCTATGCCCAGGGCACAGGGCCCACAGGGCATAGGATCCCTAGATATGTGTTGCCAGAGGAACCCAGGGCACTGTCAGCAGCTTGGGTGCAGATGCGCCCAAGAAGTGCCGTCTCATAGGGCCCACAGCACATTCCACATTGCCCACAAAAGCCCCTGGGAGAAGAGGGCTAGGAGGAGCTCCTTGCAGAGGTCTCACCTGGACTGATAACCTGTTCTACCAGGGAGCCCTAAAGAAGGCCAATTAGGCCTCAGGTCAGAACAGGGAATGTCCACAGCATGTGAGATGTTCATCTTGCTCAGTGTTTGGTCATTCCTGCTCACTGCTCTGTAGCTGTACCTGTGCTGGACCTAGGAATTCAGAGATAAATTAGTCTCCCTTCAGGACTGGGGGAGAGGAGATCAGCAAGTCTATAATTACTGTACCTATTATTATAACCCTACTGAGATTAGGGTTGTGTCAGGAGTTCAGAGAAAGTTCATAACCCCTCTGGCTGCAAGGCCTCAACAGAGGTGAGTAGGAATTAGAGAAATGGGTAAGAGGTAAGGAAGGTTTGTTCCAGGCAGAGAACAGATTTCCAAAAAGTTGGAAATCAGAAAGTACCTGCAGTGAGCAGAAGCCAAAGGTGAAGTTTGATGAGTGGGCAGAGTGCTGCAGGCCACTGCAAGGTGTCTGGACTTTATCCTGAGGGTGGTAGGGAGTCCTGGAAGGGTTTAGAGCAGGGGATTTACATGGTCAGAATTCTGGATGGATCACTGGATTCGACTAGGGTAGGGGAAGGTGGGTGAAGTTAGAAGGAGAAGACAAATGGTCAAGGAGAAGGAGCAAATGGCATTAGGTGGGTAGAACATCCTTTCCAATAAACTGTCCTGCCTTCAGAGGATCTACAACCTTTAGGGCCCAAGTGTGGAATTTAAAGCCCAAATGCCACATCACCTCTGGCCTGTCCACTAGTAAATACCACATGTAACACAATCCTGATATAGTATAAGTTCCCAGATGCTTGGCCAGCTCACCTCCCCCTCTCAATAAAAATTAAAGCAACTTCAGAGTGTGTTTCCCTCCCCACCAGGTTGTCATCTGGATTGAGAAAATGGCCAGTCCCTCTTCCCTCCAGATATGACTTCCCCTGAGTCAGGGACTCAGTCCATCAGGCTAGAGGGGAGGCAGGAGGGAGTCCCTGGGTGTCAGCCCCCTGCTGGGAAAGGACCACAGAGAAGCTATAGATGGCTTGAAAAACTCACCCACTGATCAAATGTTCAGTGATACATCTGTGTTCCCAGCCACTGAGCACCTGGAGAACACTTAGAAGAGGTCATGTTGTTGTGAGGTGGGTTTCTGGTCTGGGATAAACTGAGAATCTAGCATGGAATGATGAGGGCTGGGGCAGGTGTGGGCACCAACTGCAGGAAAAAGTCACCATCTTTGTAAGAAAGGCAGCAATGGCCAGGAGCTCTGCAGGCTATGAAGAAGCCGAAGGAGCCTGTCCACCTACCACACCAACATACATACTCTTTCTACCTCTTTTCCCCAGCTAGTGCCAGCACCTTCCCCTATAAGCTCTTCCTCAGGCCAGTTCCAAAGCTTCTGCAGGAGGTTATCTGGACCTGCCTTGAGCCCTTTGAGAGCCCTGTGGAACCAGGAGGCCCACAGGACCAGTGCAGTAGATAGAACCCCAGGGTAGACAAGGACTGTGTGGGTCTCTGTACATGCTCTCCCCTTCCTGTGTGAATGCCAGCCAGGACTGAGAATTAGAGGAAGCCACCCTTTTCATCAGCTGCCACAGGCCTGGCCCTAAGCTCCAATTGTCAAAAGCTCTGCTCATGCCTCTGAGGCATGGGATGGTATAGCTTAGACCAGCCCAGCCCAGCCTCTTGTTCCACATCAGGGGACATAGGAGCCTTGGAGGAAAGTCGAAATTTAGAAAAATTCTTCCTCTCCATGCCACATCTCCCCAAGAATGAAAACTCTTGTTTGATTCATCTTCTGTGCCTGCTCCCTCCCTACCCCTGTGCAAAGCAGCCACAGGACATGAGAATTGCCCTTGAGCAGCTCCAAATCTGGGTGGAGAGAATAAGACCAGCCAATTACAATCTCAGAAACTTAGTTGCTGAAGTCAGCACAGGGTGCTGAGCTGAGAAGACAGGGTCAGCACTTTGTCCTCAAATGCCAGGCTGAGAAGTTGGGACTTGGTCCAGAGGGCAGTCTCAGAGAGCCAGGGAAGAGTTCTGAGCAGAAGTAACACCTGGAAGGACCTAAATGTGTGGGACTGTGGCCACAAGAGATTCTTTGCACACAGTGCAGTCTTCTTGCTGTGGCTTTGGAAGACCTGCCACCCTCTCCAGCCATACTCATCCTTTCCTCTCATGCTCATATCAGAACCATTTGTCCCCAAATGTGATGAGCTAAGGGGAAATCCTCAATCAAGCTGGCTGGAATAGATGGATAAGTGTTGCGGCTACTAGCCCAGGGAGGGGTTTGGGAGTCTAAAAGGTCTAGTTTGACATAGACATGGTGAGAACAGTGGGCAGAGCTCTCAGGCCTGACTCGGCCCTCCCAGTGGGCCCCAGGCCATGGCAGGTTACTTCAAGACCACAGAGGCACCATGGAGATGTGCTAAAGTGAAATCATTTGAGGACCAATATATTCAACCAGAATCTTTGCCAGATATCCTCAGTCATGGAATACACACAAGCCCCGCCCCACCGCCTACCCTGTGAAGGGCTCTCTTCCCAGGGCCCTCAGAGCCCCTACACTCCAGTCTCAATAAATATTACAGAAGAACTCTATCCCTGCCTCTGCTTCCCCGGAGCCCAGAAATCAACCTGACCCTGCCATAGGAAATGCTTCTCCAGGGAAACCACACTGGTGGGAGAAGTGGCCTAAGATCACACCCCAGGTCCACCAGGGAGGTGGATCTTAGGACTCAGTGCCTGGGGGATCCACTGGGGCCTCTCTGTCTGACAGTTCCAGTTGGAGAATAAGGAAAGGCAAAGAGGGCATTTTGATAGAGACAGTTTTTAGTAAAAAAAAATCAGAAATCAATTGTGCCTAAAGCTAGGGTGCTGAGACTGGACCAAGCTTCAGTCTTTCTGCTGGGTGGGACTCCTTCTCTGGGGACTCTGGTCTGCAGAGTTAGTTATGGCAGGCTGGCATGGAGTGACCCGATTAGCCATGTAGCGCCCTATCACAGGGCCAGCTTGTTATCCTCAGCCAGCCTCACACAGGCAGAGGACAACTGATCCTACTCTCAGAGGAGGGCCCTTGGGCCAGAGATGACTAGCAATTGCCCAAGGTCAAACAGCAATGGGCCCTGGGAGGCAGCTGGTAGTGCGGTATGCTTATCTGCACACAGAAGAGCAAGTGTGGGTGGCGGGGAGGGGCAGTGCCGGGATTGAGACAGAGGCCTCACCAGCCAAACCCTTGACTCAGAGGCCAGCAGGACCAGGGGCTGCTGGCTGGCACAAGTGTCTGACTCTGTGCCAGGTGGCCATACAGCAGAGAGTCTGACCCAGGGGAGATGTGGGAAACACGGCCTTGGCCCACAGGGGAGTCCCCCCCTGCCCCACAAACAGCCTGGAAAAGGGAGGAGAAGCAGCATGTTTACCTCTGAGGAAGCGGAGGCAGGGCAGGGACCTTTGGTCAGAAGGCCCCTCCCAGTAAGCGGGGGAGGCCCCAGGAGATGTGGTAGCCGTTTGTTTGCTTCTCACTGCCAGGAGGAAATTAAAGAGAATCTGCCACTTCCTTCCGCCCCAAATGGGATGGGGAAGGCGGGGGTGAGGGCTGGGAGGGCTGTGTGGTGTGATCTGGCAAATTGTAAGGGCCCCAAATTGCTGTCATCAGCAGCCTCTAGTCTCCCCACAAGCCCCAACGAGGGCAGGTACATCATCCAGGGCAGGTACCTGAGCTCCAGCTGTCAGGCTTGAAGGCGACTCTGGGAGGGAGTGTTGGCCTGTTCAGTTGGTCCCTTACTGGGGCACCAGATTCCTTTCCCCAGATTCCGTATCACCTCTTATCAGGAAAGTCAACTGATGTCCAGTACCTCTAGTTTACCACCAAAAGAATGTGCCTTCCTGGCTCAGCCCAAGTCCAGTGAACCTGAAAGGTGATACCCCATTCCCCACCTCCACCAGACCCATAGAATGGGCAAGGAATATGCTTTAGGAAGCTCCAGCTCTGCACAGAGGATGAGAGTAGAACAATTATACCAGGACACAAGTCCATGTGTAAAGATGCCCAAGGCTGAAGCAACCAGCCGTGGATGAGGGTGGGGAGTGTCTTTATTGCACTGTACCAATGTCAGGTGGGGAAAGTATCACCTGAAAAGCTCCTGTTTTCAAAGGGAATATGGCCCTGCCGTTCAGACCCACAGGAGATGGGATCCCCCCCTTCCCAGGAACCCCCTGGTCCATGCTCCAGGCTGGTGGTCCAGGGCAGGATCTCTAGCTGCTGCCAGGAAGGGACAGCAAATTTTCCAGTGGCATCCAGTTCATGCTCTGGTACCTACAGCCACCTTAGGGCCAGGCCCATGGAGCAGGAGACCAGGGCAGGAACAGTAGTCACCGGCCTTCCAGGGGGGTCTCTTCACCATTTGCCAAGTCCACAAAGGGCTTCTTGCACAGTTCCCCACACAGTGCTGGCTCCTGAGCTCTGGGGCTCCCAGGGTCTTGGTCAGGGGCCTCCCTCTTGCGCTTGTGCAAGGAGGGGCTCTCCTCACCCAGCCGACCCTCAGGGAGGCCCTGGCTCCGCAGACAGACGATGGCCGCAGCCTGTTCCGCCAGTTTCTTGGACTTGTCCCTGGGCAGATGAGGCACAGGGCAATAAGGCAGGTGGGCACGTTGCAGGAATAGCGGCTAGGAGGCCTGACTCTATACACTCTTGGCAGAAATTCTGACAAAATTGAGTAAGGGGTCATTGTCCAGGGACACCACTGCCCCCGCACACCATCTGCCGAACCCTCCTAGGCCAATGCTAGATTCACATTCCCCACGCCATGCCTCATGCCCTCTGATGAAGAAACTCACCACAAGGTGGACTGGTACTTTTGCTCAGCAACAGTGACGACAGAGCAGAACAGGCGATCTAGAGGGCGTTGAACCTGGTGCAGAGAGAGCAAAGGAAACAGGGATGGCTGCACAGGAGCCAGAGGAATGAGCCCTGGAGGCCTCCCTGCTGGGGTCAAACCAAAGGCAGATAAATAATAGGTTGGTATTTCCAACCTAAGTCAAATGAAGACTACCTGTATCCCATGCTCCTCCCAAGCAAAAGTGCCTGGTGTGTCTTCCAGAGAAGACAGGCAGATATCCAATGTATCCAGAGCTCTGTCATGGACCTAAGCAAAGGGCCATCGAGCCCTTAGATGCATGTGACTATGACAGCCTCCCTATTGACATCTGGATACGCCAGGCCCCCAAAAGGAGGAGTTCACCAGATGGCAAAGAGGTGAGAGAGGACAAGGACAGGAACAGAGAAGGTCCATCTGACAGAAGGACAAGTGAATGAGACCTGAAGCAGCAAGACATGTGGGGGTCTTGTGCTCTACGCTGAGGTGCCGGGGCTTGATCCCATAGCCACTGGGGAGCTGATGACTTTAGTAAGGGAGATAGAGGTTAGATTTGTTTTGGAAAAAAATCACTTTGGCAGAGAGGGACAGACACAAGGACCGGAAGATACAAACCTGGAGGCCAGAAGTTCAGTCTAGAAGAGGTAGAACAGCCTAAGCAAGGCATGGCCACAGAGACCAAAGGAAGTGAAGCAAGACTATCTCAAAGTTTCTACCCCAGGGGCCCTACATTTGGGGCCCAATTCTGTTGACTGAGGCCTGATCCAAAGACATGTCTGCCAGAATTGGACAACAGGCCACTGTTAGAGGGGAGAGCTATCAGCAACTAACCTGGCCACCAGCAATCTCTGTGTGCCTATACAGTTGAGGCCAGGCTCCAGCTCAGCAGTCTGAAGTTGGGCATAAGCTGTGGGTGTGCTGGAGTGATGGCACCAGCTATGGGAGCACTGTGGCTGGCTGCACGGCAGGCCACAGCCAAGAACTTACCGTTTCATACACAGGCTGTGCCAACTTCTCCCTCCGGCACCACTCCAGCAGGCACATCTTGGGGGTGATCTGGGGTGGGTATGCTCTCCTGGGGAAAGGAGGGGAAACAGTCAGGGCCCACCCATTATCATCACTCCCTCCTCTCAACAAGGATCCTCCTCAGTTTCTGGTAGGAGCTGCAGGAACTGAAGGAATTATGACACCAGGCTGCTACCTTAAGGCTCTTGTACCTACTTCCCTAGGCTCCCATTCCTGTCCTACCACCGGCTTGAGACCCGGGTTCTACCTAAAGGGAAGGTGGGCTTTGGCGTGCTTGAGAAACTGGCAGGGGAGGAGGACTGAACTCCTAGCACTCTGAAATCCAGCCTGGAAAACAGCCTTCAACAGCCAGGAAGGAAGGCCCAGTTTGCCTCTGAAGACAAGATCAGTAAGGAGTGGGTGGAGGTAGGGAATGAAAGGGGCCAGACTATGGTCTCAGGGATCTAGTTCAATGCCCACCCTGATGATTACATGTGCCTAGTGCCAGGATCATCTGCTGCTGCCGTGGATACAATGGACTCTGGTTTCACAGTGACAGGGTGGGAGCTCTCCCTGGCATATGACTTCCCAGCAGCTATCCTCCCACTTCCACCCCTACCCCGAAGCCCTTGCCAGACAAGACTGGCTCCTAGTCTGGGCCCAGGGACTGGAGAAAGGCTCAGATCCCAGATGGGACATCAGAGGACATCCTTGCCCAGGGGACAGGATGAGGGAACTATTCAAAGCTGAGTCACAATCTGAGGCAACAATCAGCCAGAGGCTACTTCTGCCTAGAGCAGGCACCTCAGGGATGGTGAGGGGCAGTGGGTGTGGGCAGGAGCTACATAGCCAGAGGGGGACTAGGGTCCTGCTGCTGCTGAGGAGCTCCATGCAGGGCCCAGGAAAAAGCAGACTTCCAGGGACAGGAGATAAGACCACCCACCCTGAGTTGGGGTGGGCAGGAAAAAAGTAGAATTCAGTTACCCTTGGGACAACGTGCATACCATACAGCCCAAACTGTGCTGTCTGGGCTTTCAGGAACTATCTCCCCTGCAAGTTCCTTTTTTGGGATGCTAAAAATTGAGAATAAATATCCAAACCAAAGAGACCTGTGGGCCCTAAACTTAACATTAATCACATATAGTAGTCAGCTTGCAGGCCCAGTCAGACCCCAAGGACACTGGCCCTGCCCCCAGCTGAGGCCAAGCTGGAGACCCACCGGTCAAACCTGACAGCCATCTTAATGACACCAGAGGCATCTTCAGCTGGTTCCTCTGCCTCTTCTGGAGTCCTGGCTAAGAGCCTAGCCCGCCGGGCATCCAGCTGCTGTGTGGTCTCCTCATAGAAAGCACCAAGACCAAAGGCCTCACTAGGGAGAGAAAAGCACAGCAGGACAAGCACGTTGGTAGAGCCAGCATCCAGGCACTGAAGGAGTCCAGGGACCCACCACATACACCAAAATGTTATCGGGTCCTGGCCATCAGTGGGTACCTCCTGGACTGGAAGATGGAGGGTGAATTTGAACCTGAGCGTGGACACTGTAGGGAAGCTGGGCTGGGTGGAAAAGGTTCTAAAGGTCACCTCCACTACCTGCAGCCTTTCTCTCAAGAAGGAGTGCACAGGTGGTGTCCCCAGCCAGCTGTGACTAAGTTGACCTCCACTGACCAAGCATATGGGGTGCACACGGTTTCATCCTCAGGTGGGCCATGGGAGGAAGAGAAAGAGGCCTGACCACTAAGTGGCTCCCTACTTCCTGCCTGGCCACACCAGTTATCATGGGTACCCCCCAGAGCTACAGAGTTAAACTTTTTTCCTTGAGCTTACAAGACTCCTGGGTCAAGCTGATTAAGCTATGTGGGTTAGGGACAGAACCAGCATCACAAGTGAGGGGTTGGAGGATCATGTGGGCAAGGATTTTCCCTTCTAGGAAGCACCGTGAGGGCTGGAAGACTCCCAAGATGGCTCCCTGAGACAAAAGCAGTTCGGAAAGGCTTCTTTGGAACAGGGAGGATATAGATGGTCAATTCGAGGGGAAGAGAGCCTGCCAGGCAGAGGACCCAGTATGAACACAGGGTGGAAGTATGGAAGTGGAAGTGTAGACAGGGAGCAGTGGGAACAGGGACTAGGCCAGGTGGTGAAGGGCCTCTAGTGTCAACTGCCTGAGATGGAGCTGCACCAGATCTAGAGGACCAAGGGCTGGCCTCCCAAACCACGGGGTGATGGGGTGTGGGCACAGGCTCAAGCCAGGGGCTCCATTTTACAGCCCCAACTCTCCTGACCATTAGGTCTCAGTGGCCCGGCATGTGACAAGTCTGTTAATAGAAAAGCCCCTTCCTCCCCCCTAGGAAATCCCAAGCCCATCCTTATATTCCTCTGTCCTACTAGTGCCCTAGGTCCCAAAATTCTACGGCTAATCAGCCCAGGCATGGAACATTCCAAAGCTTTGAAAGTATCCCCTTCTGTGAGACAAAGCTATACTACCACTCCACTCTTACATGACCATGTCAAGAAGCCGTGTCCCTGGCCCCCTAGAAGAGTCAACTTAGGGTCCAAGATCAAGCCGGGCAATATCTGCATGGACAGATGGACAGTCCATGTCCCCTCTTACCAAATTTCCTGGGAAGACTGGGCAGCATGGAGCAACCTTCCCTGGGGCGATTCCAGCTGTTCTCGTAGCATCTGGCACAAGCAGTACTTGGTGTTGGTGTAGTGGTTGTCATACTGCACTGCCTGAGAGAAGAAATGCCATGAACACACCTGCTGCCCAGGCAAGCTCTAAGGCCTGAGCTATGCTCCAATGGCAGGGAAAAGGGCTCCAAAGGGGCATCAGAGGTATGTGTGCAGCCAAGGCCATGTGACCCCATAAGAAGAGCCACCTCCACCCTAGCCATCTACTCCTTGAGCTAGCAGTACAAAGCCTGAGGTCACAGCTGAGGCCCAGAGTCAGGAGCAGACTCTCCTAGAAAGCCTGACTAAGGTCCAGAAGTGCAGAAGCCTCCTCCTACTTCAGCCATCACAGACTATCACAGAGGACCTACTGCCAAGCACCTTCCAGGGCAGGGAGGGGAGAAACACCACATTCTGGCATGGCAGGTCCAGCCCTAGGACAGAGGTGAGATGCTTCTATTCCTTATAACTGAGATGGGTGCCTTCCCTTCCCACATCTTGAATAGCCTCTCTCCAACTTCCCCCTACATAGGTAAAGCACAGCACCATTTACCAAGCATATTCGCATGTGTTACTTGTCACTTCATTTATCTATACAAGTGTGAGGTGCAACTGTTACTACCACTCCATAGACTGGGAAATGAAAGAAGGCAAAGGACTGCCCAGCAATACCCGGTGAGAACCCACCTGCCTAGGGTAGGGTAGGGTAGGGCAGGACAGCAGCAGTGGGTGGAGGCTGCCTGCCCCAGCCCTACCAGAACCCCCTTACACCCCTTGTCCCCGACACTGTTCTAGTAGCTCCACCTGGGCCAATGTCTTCAGTGCCTGGGAAGGTACCATGGCACACTCAAGACAAAGTGGCGAATAAGTAGGTGATTCCTCCACCAGCAGCAGGGCCTTGATTCAGCTTGTTTGGGACAGAAGGCTGAACCAGAAGCAGTTCTATCTACACTTGAAAGCCGCTCCCTTTCTCTGCAACGATACACCCTCTTGAGGAACTGCCAAGGGACAGGCTGAGCAAGAATGACAGCATCACCTTTCACTCAGTAAGCAAGCACAGCACTACTGAACATGTCTTCTCTGCCAAAGACTTGTCAGCTGGCCAGAAAAGATGGACAGCTGACCTGGGCTGAGGCAAGCCCCCCTTGCCTCAAGCTGACCCAAACCCCTGGAAAGCTAGTGGTCACCAACCTGCCCAACAGGACACTCAGAACTAGAGCACACAGGCTGTATGAGGGCTGTAGCACTGAGCAAGAGAGGCTCTAGTGCACAGGCTGCCCAGCTCTGGACACAGGTCTCAGGGCCTCCTACCATCCCAACTTGCACAGCCATGAGACCACCCATATACTGTGGCAGCCACAAATGCCCAGGCATGGCCTTGGCTTGGAGAGGGCACAGGCAGTCCCAGGACAGTATGAACCCTAAGACTGAAGAAAAGGGTAGAAGTCTGCTCTGTGCAAGGTCCAACTCACTGAAGAATTTGAGAACCACTCACTGTCTCTGCCCATAGACATGTGCAGCTGATCACAGAGTCCCACAGAGGTACAGGGCTGTGCCAAAGAGACAGGGCAAGTGAACTCATAGTTTCCTTTTATAGGGAAATGCCCTTGCCACTACCATCAAGCTCTCAGTGACAAGAAACTGGCTTACAAAAAGCTATTTCCTGAGGAGAAGGTTAAAATTAAGCTATTCCCTAACTCATAGGCTAAAGCATTCTGGGAATCAGGAACAGAAAAGTTTTAGAAGTGATTCTGACTGATGAGTCAAATCAGGTGAGCAGTCTCTATGGAGATAATCTGTCCCTAACAACAACAGCTACAAGGGCTCCTCCTGGCTGTGGCTGCTCCTATGCCAACCTATAGGCATGCGTGTTGAGTAAGTGTTGGGTATGAAAGAGAAGGAAAAAGATATTATGTGTTTGGGGCCCCTGCAGCATCCTGCATCCAGAGGTCCTTGCTATGACCTCCACTCCTTAAGAAGCTTTAGAAGGAGAAGATAGTAGGGGCACACATCCCAGCATCCTCTCTTCCCACTGCAGCTGGAGAGACCCAATACTGAACTACAAGAGCTAAAAACAAAAAGAGAGAAAAACAGGAGCTGCGGGAAGCTGGGGGCTCACACAAAGTGCTCTCTCCAGGAATGTGGCAGACAGTGAGAAATGTTTGTTTTGAAGAAGCACAGAGACATACATATCTGATGTACTTCTGCATGACCTCCTCCAGAGGCCGAAGACCCTCCTTGAGGAAGATAGATGGGTTCCACATGGCTGCTCGGGCCACCATCACTGAAGAGGCTGCTGTGGCTTGTCGGAAGTCCTCTATGTCCAAATACTGTTGGATATGGTCGTGAGATCCTCCACTGAAAAGCAACAGGAGAATTAGGGATGTTCCTGTCATGGAACCTAAAAGCATTTTCAGAAAAAGGCAACTCCCAGATCTGCTACTCATTAATAGTGTGGCTTTGGCCAAGTCCCTTCAGGTATAAGAGCTTTAGTAGAGATTATAGTGCATATCCCTCATTATGAAGTTAGGAGCACTAAGATGATATATATAAAGTAGCCCAAACAATGCCTGGCACCTAATAAGTATTCCAGAAAATTTACTTTCCCTCCCCCTCATCCGAAACAGTGGCTTAAGCCAGCCCACATCTGAAGACATGGGTCTATAACTGGGGTATTGAGGCCATAGAAAAACTCTGAAGCTGAGCAGGCCATCAACATGCCCACTAAGGACAGACTCAAAACCCTGAAGAACGGAAGAGACACCCTGGTGATCATGAGAGGAAGTAGGCCCAGTTAGGTCACGATTTCCCCTCCCTCAGCCCTGCTGCTCCAAGGACTCCCCCACAGAAACTGCTCTGTCCTCGTGTGTTTCATCAGGGGTCAGGTGGCAGCCTTAGTCCAGAGATACCCATGTAGAAGGGGAGGGCCTTCAGATGGCAGCAGAAACAACAGGGTCCAGTCTTAAGTAGCCCTGCTCTCTCCAAGCCACTTCCAAAACTCTTTGCTCCAGGGAAGGCAGGGCCTAGCCAGCACCCTCGTGCTCAGCTCCTCCCTCCCACCATTCAGGCATGACTTTCGTCAGAGCTGCCCTCTTCCCAATGTCCCAGGCTCCCTCAGGCTCTGTGCTGTCCTAAGGTGCAGGGCTGAGCTGGACTCCCAGCTGGCCTATATAGTCTCACATCCCAGGGCGACTGGATGCAGTCTTTGAGCTGCACCTTCAGGACCTGACACCAACCAGCCTAGGTTCCTGGGCCTGCACAGAATTCTGCCTTCTGCTTCTGAGAGTTGCCTTATGCTCCCCGAGCCACGGCGCTATGAGCTCTGGCTCCCATAGCTCACATAGCTAACTCTGGGGGTAACATCACCTTCCCCTGGGCCTGCTTCAGCAGCCACCTACTTGCTCTCTCCCAGGCCCTGAACACTCCTACTCCCACCCCATCCAGCACAATGCCCTGGGCCCTGACCACTGCACCAGAGGCCAATCGGCCTGACATACATGTAGACATTTTTCAGCCTCATTCCCACATCCATTTTCCATCCCACTCTTTTTCTCTTTTTCCTTACGGTCATTTTTGAGTGCTATCTCATTCCATTTTTTGTATGCCAGCTCAAGTCTCTTCTGAATGAGGTAGGACATAAAGTAAAAGATGAAGAAGGGAAGCTTACTTGGCTATGACAGGAATGGAGAGGGCATCAGCAATGGCTCTGATGACGTCACAGCTGACAGGGTGCTGAGGCCGCTCCTCCCGCTTCCTTGGAGAAACAGAGATGGGCCTGAGGACTGAGTGCCAAAAGCCAGGGTTACCTCAGCCACACCCTGCTGTCCTCCTTACTGAACCTCAGGAAGGTCAGGTGGCCATGTGGTCATCAAGGACAGGCTGCAGGGGCAGGCCCTCCCTGGGCTCTGGAGAAGGACTCTGTCCTAAGCAGCGGAAGCAGCACAGGTCCCTCCTGAGGCCAGCCCGGCTCCTGGAGGCCTGCAGGGGAGGCATGGCTGTGGCAGGCAATGTGGGCAGCCTGCCTTCCAAGGTCACGCTGCTTTTCCCTGACTTCCTCTCACCTCTGCCAGACATGAGGGACAGTGCCATAAGAATGCTGCCCCTACTGTCCCAGTCCTGCCCTCTCTAAGGGACTAGGAACAGCTGCTGCTGCTCAGACTGGCCACTCCCATGCAGCTGCCTATGCCGAGGCCAAGTTGCGCAACTGATTCTGGTGAGAGGCACCTGACACAGGGTAGGCCCAGTGCCCAGGGCAGCCATGACAGGCCACAGACCATGGCTGTCACGACAAGCCACAAGGGAGGCAGGACCACAAACTAGAGCCCCTCCTCCCAAGGTCAACTGCAAGAAGTATTTATGAATGAGTGATTCTTAGGGATGCTGAGGCAAAGCCTGACCTGAGTTGTGCTCAGAGGCAAAGCAGGAGATGTGGCTGACCAGATAGCCTTTGCTATCAGAGTATGTCTCCCCACTCTGCTCCTCAACAAAAAGGTCAAGGACCACAGCGCCTCTCTAGAAGGCCCTGTCAACCCAGCCTCCACCTTTACCTCCCTACATCCCCAGCAGCCAGTTTCAGCCCACCCCCAACAGCTTTGATGGCCAGAAAGTCCTTCCTCAAACTCACCCAAATCTGCTTAGTGTTCCCAAACCAGTAAAAGTAATAGCTTTGTTTATTAAGAGAATACTCTATGCAAGGCACTGTGCCAGGGATTAATATTTATAATCTCATAAAAGCCTCACAACCACCCTATAAAGCAGAAATTATCTTAACTTCCAAATGAGGAGTGTGGGGCTCAGAGAGGTTAAGTGATTTGCCCGAGGATACACAGCCAACAAGCAGCAGAGCAGGAATTTGAAACCAGAAAGTCTGAGTCCAAAGTATGTTGCCTCGGGAAGGAGCATATGTGTATGTGTGTGGCCTCTCACCTCCCCTTCCTGGCTTCAATCCAAGCAGCTCTGCTTTTCTCTGTTTTACAAGCTGGAGTTCTGGGTTCCCATCTTGGAAAATGCTATGATAGACACAACCACAATCTGGGCTGTTCCTACCAGACCCCTGAGCCCAAAGGAACAACACTCAGAGAAGAGAGGTCACTCTGGCCAAAGTCTACTAACCTAGGATTCTGTACAAAAGGACATTCTGGCCACAGGGAGCAAGTTTGATTGGGATACCGGGGGTAGTCTTCAGAAACACCTCAGTTCTCAGCAGATAGCACAGTAGCTACAGATATAAGGACTGTTGAAATTAATCATTTTGACAGGTGGCAGTCCAACAAGGACAGACAAAAGAGGCAGTGCCTTTAAAAGAATAGCAATCTGCCTAGGGTCATTCAAGGGAGAAGCCATTGCTCAATGCAAGAGGAAGAAAATGAATTTCAGGGTCAGAATTCTAATTCTACCACTTACCAGCTACATGGTACAATTTTGAACAAATCACTCAAACTCTACCATTTACACATCCTGAGAGTGGGGGCATTTCTCCTTCCTCTTGGTCTCTCTGTGTCTCTAAAGCTCAGTGCCTACCACCACTAGGTGCTCGATGAATGAAACAAAGAAAAATGCAAGCCCATTCAGGACTCATGGGATATCTAAAGAGCAAGGCACAGCAAGGCAGAGACTTGCTGAATCTGTAGAAGAGAAGTTATTGTCACCTGAGGTCTGGGGAAAGATCATTATGATAGCTGGGGATCTCCCTACCAGTCAGTCACTAGAAAGGTGACCACTCACCTCCCATGAACTGCAATGGCAGCAATGCCAGTCCTCTCTATCCGCTTCACAAGATTCAGGGTATCTTCTAGCTGGGGAAGAAGACCGTTCAGTGTGATTACTGAAGCCCCAGAATAGCTGCCACCTCCTACAGTAGGCTCAAGTCCACCCTCTCCTCCAAACCTAATTCAGCACTTCAAGAATCATTCACATATCCCCAAATCCAACATCCCCAGGGTGAATGGACCTTCAAATGTAACACACCATCCTTACCGATGGCAGGATGCGAATCTTGCAGGTCACAGGTCTGCGTGTCCCTTTAACAAGAGTGCTGAGGATCTGCAGAGAGAAGAACACAAGAGCACCTACCTCTTCTGAAACATACCACCACATTGCTTGTATTAATTAATTCAGCTACAGACCTGTGCATTCCAGTGGCATGAACAGTTTGCATACACACGAGTGCATGTATGTGTCTGCTGTGCTCATCTACATATAAGCTCCACAGGCAAGGGGTCTGCCTTTGTTCTATGCTAGAGCCCCAGCACCAGTGATACCCTGCCTGGCACATAGTAGTGTACGTTTATTTGTTAAATATACATATGAGTGAATAAATCTACATGCTTATCTGTGTGGAACACAGTGAGCCTTTGCCAAGGCAAACATTAGAATTACCTGGAGAGCTGAAGAAATATAGACTCTTGGATTCTATCTACTCCATTATTTCCTGAATGGGTCTCTAGATACAGGGTTTAGGAATGTGTGTTTCCAAAACACTCTGCCCAACACACAATTTGATTTTGAGGTCTAGCCCTGGTTAAGAACACATGGCTGGCCGGGCATGGTGGCTCACACCTGTAATCCTAGCACTCTGGGAGGCTGAGGCAGGCGGATTGCTGAAAGTTAGGAGTTCGAAACGAGCCTGAGCAAGAGTGAGACCCTGTCTCTACTATAAATAGAAAGAAATTAATTGACCAACTAATATACATAGAAAAAATTAGCCGGGCATGATGGCACATGCCTGTAGTCTCAGCTACTCGGGAGGCTGAGGCAGGATTGCTTGAGCCCAGGAGTTAGAGGTTGCTGTGAGCTAGGCTGACGCCTCGGCACTCACTCTAGCCTGGGCAACAAAGCGAGACTCTGTCTCAAAAAAAAAAAGAACACATGGCTGATAGCTTCTTTCCTGGGTGAAGGCAATGTTCCCTGGGTGCTATCCCAGGACCTGTAGACTGAGGGAGCAGGAAGGCTTTTAAGAGCCTGGGGCCCTGTCTTCATGTACTCCTCTCTTTAGGGTAGTCAAATATACAGGAGTGAAACTGGCAAAGGAAAAGACAACATATTCAACATATGAAAAAGTGCTTATTACATAGTAATTGCAAAAGATTTCAAAGAAAGATCAAGTGGTCACACAGGAAAGTGTCAGGGAAGTAGCAAGACCAGATCACACAAGAATCAGAGATGAAGAGATCAAGAGAGGTATAGATGACACTGCATGTCTGTGGCATTGCTATCTTCTTCCCTCATCAAACATTTCAGGCCAGGAAAGACGGAGGGAAGGTGACTCCCAGAGCTCTCTTCCAAGAAGAGCAGGGGCACACCAAGTACTGCTGCCATTCTTGATTCCAGACAGGCGAGGGCAGCAGAGAGCTAGGTTGCAAGAATAAGGAGCGGAAGGCTTTCTCTCAGGCACAGGCTGAGGCAGGCCACTGCAGAGGACATCAGACCACGAGGCTGGGCTGACAGGTGGACAGTTCATGAGCAAGACAGGACTTGCTGGCTCAGGCACAATTGCTAGGTTGTGGCAAGAAGAAACAGTCCCCAGGTGCTGCCCCAGGAGGTAGACTGGGCCTGAGGTCCTAGGGTCACACTGGCAGGCCTTAAAGGGACACTTAACCCTTAAGGGGAAGATTGCTAGGTCCATCAGGAAACAGAATAAAAATTCTCACTCTAGTCCTACCCTTCAGGTTTACAGCAACATCTCTGGAAGGTTCCCCTGCAAGTTCTCACTTAGAATGCTCTGATATTTGGTGATTTAAGCTGGTCTGATCCAATTCTCTGTCTTGCAGAACCTCCTTTTGGTGTATTTTATCCAAGTAGATCTTCAGTATTTCTGATCATTTCTGATGTGTTAAGGACTAGGAAGGAAATCAGGTAACCTAAAGCTGTAGCCACTGGCAAGGATCACACTAAGGAGAAAGGGCATTAGACTCTGTCTTCTGGCCAGGCTCTAGCATGAAATTCTCCTGGACACCCAGCTCTCCAGATAAAATTAGCACCCCATGTCTCTGTGATATGAAAGTCTCTGGGGGGGAAAGGACCAGAGCCAAGCTCACATCTCAGTAGAATAACAGCTCACCTATCCAAGGCAGGCTTGCGCCACCAGATCCACTAGCCATCATAGGAAAAGCAGAACCTTAGCTCCCCAGGTTATAGAGGAGAGGGCAGATGGGAAAACGGTAAGACCTGCCAACGATAAGCCATGGCCCAAGTGCAGCATGCATAGGGGGATTCCTGGGGTGCACAGGGAATCTTGGGCAGGGATGAGACAGAGGATATTACTGAGTTATAGTATAGAACTGAGGTTCTTCCCGGGCACGGTAACTCACACCTATAATCCCAGCACTGTGGATCTAAGGTGAGAGGATCACTTGAGGCCAGGAATTCAAGACCAGCCTGGACAACATACCACAACCCCATTTCTACAAAACAATTTTAAAAATTAGCCATACATGGTGGCTAATTTTTAAGCATGCCTTTAGTCTCTGCTGCCTAGAAGGCTGATGTGGGAGGATCACTTGAGCACAGGAGTTCAAGGTCACAGTGAGCTGTGATCATGCCACTGCACACTGGCCTAGGCAACAGAACGAAACTCTGTCTGTAAAAACATTAAAATAAAATAAATAAAAACAAAATTGAGGCCGGGCGCGGTGGCTCACGCCTGTAATCCTAGCACTCTGGGAGGCCGAGGCAGGTGGATTGCTCGAGGTCAGGAGTTCGAAACTAGCCTGAGCAAGAGCAAGACCCCGTCTCTACTAAATATAGAAAGAAATTAATTGGCCAACTAATATATGTAGAAAAAATTAGCTGAGCATGGTGGTGCATGCCTGTAGTCCCAGCTACTTGGGAGGCTGAGGCAGTAGGATTGCTTGAGCCCAGGAGTTTGAGGTTGCTGTGAGCTAGGCTGACGCCATGGCACTCACTCTAACCTGGGCAAAAAAGTGAGACTCTGTCTCAAAAAAAAAAAAGCAAAAAACAAAAAAAACAAACAAACAAACAAAAAAACCCAAAAAACAAAATTGAGGTTCTTCATTCAAGGACGATACACCACAGTTACCTAGTGGAAGTTTTTTCAAGAGAGTGATACACCCCTCTCCACCCCTCCCCATCCCAAGCGTATTCAGAATTCTCAACAGATAGCATCCCTTTTTAAAAATTGAGGTAAAATATATATAACAGAAAATTTGCCATCTTAAACATTTCTAAGTATATAATTCAGTGGCATTCTTTACATTCACAATGTTGTGACAAGCATCATCGCTATGTATTTCCAAAGTTTTTCATGACCCCAGTAAGGCATCTTTATTTGGAGAAAATTTCTGCAGGTGGTACTTAGTTGCTCTGAGGATGGAACCATGGGCCTAAAATACAAGCCTAGAGGGACTCACAAATCTGTCACCCAGGTCACCCAGCTTGTCAGCACAGTCTGGGCCTGAAATGAATCGAGCCCTCTATGCCTAAGTCACATCTTACTTTGCTGTGCAAGCCTACGCTTCCCATACCTAAGACACATCTGGCTTTGCTGTGCAAATGTACAACCTCCCATCTGGGGGGGTAAGCCCATCTCCAGTTCCACCTGGCCATCTGAGTGTCCAACCAGAGAAGCAGTAGAATGAGCTGAGCTTCTCAGGCGCAGTGTGTCTCTGCTGCCTCATGGATAAAATCTGCCTCATTCAAAGAGAGGCAGTGGAGAGCACAGAGCCAACAGCATCAGTCTGAGAAGCCAGGAGGCTGGAGGAGAATAGAAGTGCCTGTATGCACATGCTGTGAGCCACATCCCTCCTGCTGGGCTCCTCTCCCAAGTGTGGCAACCAGTCTGGCATCCACAGTGTGAACTTCTACTCCATCCTGCACAGAGGTGTCTGACTAGAGGTTCCTAAGTCCAGACACCTATTGAACTGTGGCCAGACACTTATAAACTACACTCAGGCACTTTAAACCTGAGATACCATCAGAGGGGGCACCGATGCTAGGTTAGGAGTCATAAGACTACGGCTCTAAAGCAGGCTCTGCCTGCTACTTATTTGCTACATGACCTTGAGCAAATTATTTTTATCTCTCACTGCTTTGGTTTATTGTTCTTGATCAGATGGATATAACAAATGCCTACCCTGTCTACTTCAAGGGGTTTAGGGAACAAAAGGCACATTATATAGGCACACTGTAGGCACATTATAGAGGCACACTGTATGCACATTACAGAGGCACTACAGGCACAGTATCTGTGGCTGCACATGGGAAAAATGAGGAGGCACTGAGCTAACACACACAGTGTTCTTCCCATATCCCAGAGACAGCTGGACCACAGGAATACACAGGGCTGAGCGGCTGACACAGCAGCCAGCAGAAACAATGGCCGCTCTTACTGGTGGTGCCTGAGTTCCACGTTGTTCTAGCCTGTGGAAGACACTGTGAGGCTTAAAGCCCAGACAAGGAAATGGGGATAGAGAATGAAAACAAATGAAAACAAAGGAGCTAAGAGGAGCGACAAGGAGAGAGCTAGTAGACTGGGAGAGAAAAGCGAAAGGTATATATGGTATAGCGGAAAATGTCATCCCCACGTGCCCTGGCAGTGCACAGCACTGGGTGGTAAATGCCAACCTGTCCTCAGGCCTTCATTAAGCTGGCCTGCAGAATCACAAGGGAAGGGAACAGAAGGAGACTTAACTTCAGCTTGCCTCATCTGACCCTGACCTGGCCTGGCTTGTTCTCAAAGGCTGGTGGTGGAGTCTGCCAGTATGCAGGGGATCTACTGCTGCTCTCATCAAGCCCCTGGGAGAGGCCAATGCACCCCCCACACCCTTGCCCACAAATACATACAGCCACTGAGGCTGTCCTCACCAAGGTGACCCAGCCTTTCCTCTCATGATCATTCCAGAAGGGAGTGAGGCGGTGCAGAGGCTCTGAATCCTCGGGACCCCCAAGCTCTCAGTTGCCACGTCCCTGGCTCTGGGCTTTTAAGGAACTCCAGGCTGCTGTAGGCTGGCACAGGGGTTCCCAAACTTGGCTGCAAGACAAACTTGCTGAGAACCTTTTTAACACATTTCTAGGCCCCAGGTGGAGAGACCAGGTGGACTCCAGTAAATCTGGAGATGGGAGAAAGGTGTTCTGGACAACTCCAGGTCATAGCTGTGGTTGAGGACTCCTGCTTTCATCCATGCAAGACTTACCTTCTCAATCCTGTCAGGGTCTGACAGCAGAGCAGCACCCATTCCTCCCTACGGAGAAATAACACACAGAGGGTCTTTGTACAGCTGGGGCAAGATCGCCCTCCCCACAGGATGGCAACTTGATATGGCAACCTGGCCCCACCCCAGCACTCGCCCCCAAGGGACCAAGGCCCACTGGCAATTGGCACATCTCCTAACCAAGGAGAAAAGCAGCAGCATCCATGTGTACAATATCTGGAACTGAAGTTTGATGAATTCTAGAAGTTATCACTCTCCCCTTGACAAAACCCACAGATCTATCTGGAAGTGGGCTCTACAAAATTTATTTATTAGGACTGCCACTCCCTACCCAAGTCTCAGTGTCTTAATAAACTAAATCCCACCATCTCCCAAGCCCTTAAAAACAATGAATCTGGCTAAGCATGTGGCTCACACCTGTAATTTGGGAGGCTGAGGTGGGAAGATCACTTGAGGCCAGGAGTTTGAGACCAGCCTGGCAACACAGCAAGACCCCACCTTTACAAAAAATAGAAAAATTAGCCGGCATGGTTGTGCATGCTTCTAGTCCCAGCAACTCAGGAGGCTGAGGCAGGAGGATCACCTAAGCCTAGGTGTTCAAGGTTGCAGTGAGCTATGACTGGGCCACTGCACTTTAGCCTGGGCAAAAGAGCAAAACCCTATCTCTTAAAAAAACAATAAAATGAATCAGTCTTTGTTTGAAAAGAGTTCAAATACACCTTCTTCCTATCATACCTAACACTCACTGAGATACCCCCACCACCAGCAAAGCCACTCAGAGGCACCCAACCTACAATGCTTGTCCAGACCCTTTTCTTCTGCCAGCAACAATGTCCCAATCCTAAGGACCCAAATCCATGCCAAACTCTAACAAAAGCCCCAGCCAATGGAAACCACCAATGCATGGAACCACTTAAATCTCAACAGTAACAATAATGGTTGTCTCTTAATGATGGGATTATTAGTGATTTTCCTGCTCTTTTTTATACTTTTACTCCTAAATATTTTAGTGTGTATTTTCTAAGAATGGGGTATTCTGTTATATAACCACAGAAGAGTTATCGACATCATAAATTTACAATTATACAGTATTTTTACCTAATCTACGATGATCTCTATTCTAGTTTTGCCAGTTCATCTAATAATATTGTTTGGTGCATTTTCCTATCTGCCACAGAATGCAGTCTGGAGTCAAGCATTACACTTCACTGCCTTGTCTCGGTAGCCTCTTTTTTTTTTTGAGACAGAGTCTCACTCTGTTGCCCAGGCTAGAGTGCCATGGCATCAGCCTAGCTCACAGCAACCTCAAACTCCTGGGCTCAAGCAATCCTTCTGCCTCAGCCTCTGGGGTAGCTGGGCCTATAGGCATGTGCCACCATGCCCAGCTAATTTTTTCTATATACTTTTAGTTGGCCAATTAATTTCTTTCTATTTTTAGTAGAGACAGGGTCTCGCTCTTGCTCAGGCTGTTTTCAAACTCCTGACCTTAGCAATCCTCCTGCCTCCGGCCTCCCAGAGTGCTAGGATTACAGGCATGAGCCACCACACCTGGCCTGGGTAGCCTCTTTTAATCTGCATCCGATTTTTGTGAGGACTATAAAGAAATCAGTTTACCTTGGTGGAATATTCTTTTGGGCAACCCATGTTGACATCAATACCAGCTACATCATTTTCTCTGGAAAAGGGTGAAAGAGAAAAGGTAATAAATATTCAATTTAAGGCAAGAAGGTAGAGTAAAAGGCATGGATGGGTCTGTGCTCACGAAGATCCTACTGGGTCCCTGGCCCTGTGAAACACACCAACCCTCAATGACAGAAGATGAAAAAGGGAAAGAAATCTGTCCCTACAATGTGCAACTGCCTCATCTGGCCAGAGCCCCAGAGGAAAGACAATGTGTGCGCACATCTATAATGGGCTAGATGTAGAAGATTTGCTCCTTTGGAGTTGTATCAGATAACTCAAATACTGAGTGACGGGCACACTGAATTTGATCCCAAGGCTGCTGTTTTGACTGAGGTAGTAAAAGGCATTCATCAATGCGGAAAAGTGACATGAGCACAAGAGCCTTTTCCCAGAGCACCGCTTCTCGTGGGAGTTATGGACCGACTCTGTTGGCTGGGTTGCATGGTTGGCTTACTCCAAACAATTCTCAGATACAGAAAGGGCTTCGCTCCATCCTCTGGTACATACATAGTGACTGGTCTGAGATCAGCAGCAATTATTGCCTGAGTTCCTTCTCACTTTTACTGTAAATAATAACAGTAGCTAACACTAAGCACTATGTGCCACATTCTGAAAATGACAACTGCATGTACTATTTCATTTACCCTTTCCTATGCCAGAGGTTGGTAGTACTATTTATGCATTTATTTATTTATTCTTTGGAATGGAGTCTAACTCTGTCCTCCAGGATTGAATTCAGTGGCATGATCACAGCTCACTGCATCCTCAAACTCCCGGGTTCAAGTGACCCTGCTGCGTCAGCCTCTCAAGTAGCTGGGACTATAGGCTCATGCCACCATGACCAGCTAACTTCCTTATTTTTTGTAGAGACAGGTTCTCATTGTGCTGCTCAGGTTGGTCTTGAACTCCTAGCCTCAAGAGATCCTCCTGCCTCAGCCTCCTAAAGTATTGAGATTACAGGCGTGAGCCACCGCCCCCAGTCAGTAGTACTATTTTATAGATGTGGGAACTAAGTTCTCAGTGAGATTAAATAATGTACCTAAGGTCACACAGTTAACAAGGAGCAAAGCCAGAATTCCAGCCCAATTCTATCTTAACTTCAAGCCTATCACTGTACCCATAGTACTCTCCTGCCTTTGTTAATTTGGGAAGCAATAAGTCTTACATATACTTCATGAGAGTTAAAGCCTCAGGACTCATAGTCATAATAGTATCACAAATAAACACTAACAAACAAGACCCCTCACACACAAACAGTCTCTGGGATCTGGGCACTGTGGGTATAGCCTTTGGATGCCACAGAGAAGGGAATCAGGTACTGTCAACCTAGAAACAGAAGGTAATGGGCTAGGAGGCAGAAGGGTGGTCACCTCTAAGGTCACCAGTAACATTATAGCCTCACAGCTCACAGGAGAAACAAAGACAGCCCCAAAGGGGGGAACTTACACAAGCCTGGCCACGGCAAGGGCTCGCTCTGCATCTGATGTTCCCTGGGAACACAAGAGGCTATATCAACCACTACCCTGACACAGGTACACATGCACAAACATAGCCATGTACATCACACATACACACACATGAGGCTGGCTTTCTCTTTTATTTTTTTTTACTTTTTTTTTTTTTTTTTTTTTAGACAGAGTCTCACTTTGTTGCCCAGGCTAGAGTGAGTGCCATGGCGTCAGCCTCGCTCACAGCAACCTCAAACTCCTGGGCTCAAGCAATCCTGCTTTCTCAGCCTCCCAAGTAGCTGGGACTACAGGCATGCTCCACCATGCTCGGCTAATTTTTTCTATATATATTGGCAAATTAATTTCTTTCTATTTATAGTAGAGATGGGGTCTTGCTCAGGCTGGTTTCGAACTCCTGACCTTGAGCAATCCGCCAGCCTTGGCCTCCCAGCGTGCTAGGATTACAGGCGTGAGCCACCATGCCCAGCCTGGCTTTCTCTTGAACAGCTAGCTCACTGGATTAGCTCACTGCCAGCAGAAAAAGGTGGACTTGCAGGGCCTAGAAAATGTCATCAATGCTGTGATTACTTTCAATCATAAGAAAAGTTGAAAATTTTTATAGTGAACATTCAGATACCCACCACTTAGATTCTATAATTAATTTTGCTATGGTTGATTGAACACATGTCTACCCACTGTTACCAGTATTTTTAAAAAACCTAAACATCATTCAGGTGTTATTTCTCAAAAAGCATCAAGAAATGCCCAAGGCCAAGAAAAGAGAGCTACAGAGTCATTACAACTCTAACATAAACCTTAACTACTCTCGAGGAAACCAAATTTCATTCTATGGGAAATATATACAGATTACATAAAAACAAAGCCCATGTTCTGAAGAATCAATGCTAGAGATTAAGAAAATAGATATAAAAGTCATGCCAAATAGATAATGCCTATCATTCAGTAAATTAAATTTGAGACTAGAGACATGTAACAGACTGTGACAGTTTGATTTCCATAAACTGTCTCCGATAGCATAATCACTCATGGGCAGGTCTTTGGAAAACATTAAAGGAGTCTTCAGGAAGCCAGCGTTGTGCAACGTAAGCTCTGGCATCAACACTGGCCTGGCACAGGCATGAGTCAGGAAATTCCAGGGGACAGTGAGCCTCAGAAGGGTACTCAGCAATGGGGTCTCTTACCATCTGGAAGACCACCCTGTTCTGTTCTCTTTCGCAGGTGCGGAAGACCACTCGGTCATCAGGGGCAACAAAGTCTACAGTGCTGAGAGCTTCTGCAATAAAACACAAACACAAGGGTCTACTCAATTAAGATGCAAGTTCAACCTGGCCTAAGCACTGGAAGAAAAACAGCAAAAGCATAACCTTAAAGGGAAAAGAAGGGACTCTAGATATATACTATTCTCTCTCTCTCTCTCTTTTTTTTTCCCAGAGACAAGGTCTCACTATGTTGCCCAGGCTGGAGTGTAGTGGCTATTCACAGGCGCAATCATAGCTCACTGCTGCCTCAAACTCCAGGGTTCAAGTGATCTTCCCACCTCAGAATCCTAAGTAGCTGGGACTACAGGTGTACACCAACACACCTGGCTGATGTTTTAATTTTTTGTAGAGACAAGGTCTCGCTATGTTGCCTAGGTTGGTCTGGAACTTCTGGCCTCAAGCAATCCTCCCGCCTCAACTTCCCAAAGTGCTGGGATTACAAGCCACCACGCCTGGCTATGTCATATTTTATACATATACATTATGTACTATATGTGTAAAAAATATATACATTATTGGCCAGGCATGGTGGCTCAGCTCATGCCTGTAATCCTAGCACTCTGGGAGGCCGAGGCGGGCGGATAGCTCAAGGTCAGGAGTTCAAAACCAGCCTAAACAAGATCGAGATCCCGTCTCTACTAAAAATAGAAACAAATTAATTGGCCAACTAAAAATACGTAGAAAAAAAAATTAGTCAGGCATGGTGGCGCTCACCTGTAGTCCCAGCTACTTGGGAGGCTGAGGCAGTAGGATCGCTGGAGCCCAGGAGTTTGAGGTTGCTATGTGCTAGGCTGATGCCACGGCACTCTAGCCTAGGCAACACAGTGAGACTCTGTCTCAAAACAAATAAATAAAAACATATATATATATATTGTTCCTCTTTGTGATTACCACTTTAGGTGTGGGATCATGGAGAGTTTTCTTTTTCTAGGTTATATAGATCTGGAATATTGAATTTTTCATAATACAAAAAAGAAAACATAGATTTAAAAACAATTAGACAAAATTCAGTCATAAGTTCTAGTGAAATTATATTAAGATTTCACAAATATAGGTACTTCAAAAACCTTGAATTCTAATCAATGCAGAAAGCAGAATTCTAATCAAAGCAGAATTCTAATCAAAGCAGAATGCACCTCATCAAAAAAGTATAAGCGTCCCACTGTAGAAATTCAGATTTTAAAAAAGTATAAGCAAACCACCATTCATCACAATCACTTATATCTGCACAGAGCTTAAGGTGTGCAAAATAATTACACATCCCTTATCTTATCTGATCCTCACTCCATCCCCATGATTTAAGTAAAGCGAGAATTACAATTTTCACTTTACAGATAAAGAAACTGAGGCAGAGACAGGTCATGTGACTTGCACAAAGTCAAACACCTATTAGGAGGCCAAACCAGGGCCAGCACAGATGCCAACTCCAAGGTTCCTAGGGTCCCTCTAGTACAATGACACATGGCAATTTCTATGCCAGCAAGCCCATGGATAGGAGGCATTCTTAGCTTGTTTTAAATGTGGGTTTCTTTTTTTTCAAGAGATGGGGTCTCACTATATCAACCCAAGATGGTTTAAAACCTCTGGTTTCCCTTCCCAGTCTCCTAAGTAGCTAGGACTATAGGAACAAACCACCACATCTAGGTAACTTCAAAAAAATTTGTTTGAGATGGGGGTCTCACAACATTGCTCAGCTGGTCTTGAACTCCTGGCCTCAAGCGATTCTCTTGCCTTACACTCCTGAGCATCCCTGACTACCAGTGTGAGCCACCGTGGCTGGCTACATATGGTTTTTTGTCATGGCCTCTGGAGAGCAGTGACTGATCTCAAGGGAGCATGAGATCTCCAAAATTACACAATGCTGCCAAGCCAGACAGGACACTGTCACCCCAAGCAAGGGCAGTGATAGTGCTGCCTGAGCCCAGCAGGGCATACACACAATCCCTGGGTCAGGGCTGCACTCACCATTGACAACTCTCTTGCACTGAAGCATCTTCAGGTCGATCAGCTCCTGCAGAGGAATCAGAGGACACTCGTCAGCCCTGGACATGTAGACCTTCAGCATGGGGGGAGGACATTCAATGGCACACCTAATGGGGACTGCTTGGCCAGTCATCCTACTACAAACAACAAATCACAGCTTTGGGGATATGTAGTGCTATCCACCCCACCCAATCACAGCAAGTAGGGGCCTGAGTGAGCCACGCTCAATTGGATACTCTTCACGGGGACCTTGGAGACACTTGGGGCCTATAAAGGATGAGCCACTCAGAGAGCCAAAGAGAAGATAGCCCAGGACATAGCCACCTGAACGTTTTCTTCATGTACTGGTCAAAGCTGAAGCCTACTCCCCTCAAAGAATATCCCATCTCATCCATAGGCAAAGGGCAGGCCATGATGGGCTCCCAAGAAACACTTAAGGACAAAACTGGGACCAGTGACTAAAAGCATAGGGAGGAATATTTGTGATGAGCAAAGGAAACAGTCTAAAACCCCATCCGAATGGGTGACACTATGTGGAACTAAAAGGGGTGAGCTCCCCAACTCTGGAGATAGTCAAAGACTCAAGAAAGAAAGGGAAAGGGGATTTATTCAAAATCAGTATCATAAACATGGAGGGAAAGCTTATGACTCCTAGAGGATTGAGATTCTCTAATTCCTAGTTGGAGATAGGAATTAGTGGTCTTCTTTGTTCAGTGATCCTTACTGCAGACAAGTAAGACAAGTCAGAAGAGGCAAGCACCTGTCACACTGCCCAGGAGCTCATGCCCAGGGAATCTGGGGGTGCAGAAGATGACAGGAAGAGACTCTCTCCCTGGTACTCATCCCCTTACTGACTCCCTGCGAGCCTCAGCAAGTCACAACCTGAGGCAGGTGGGCACAATGACCTCTGCTCAGTCATGGGAGCATCAGGGCTAACATGCCTAAAAGTTCCTCAATGCCTCCATGGGGCTCCCCACAGCATACCCACCATCTAGGTCACTGCACGCTCTAGGTGTTTCTGTGGCTGTTCCCTCCACGAGGAACTCAGAACATCAAGTATCTAATGTCTACCAGGCCTGACCAAACAAATCACCACAACCAAGCAGTGTGGACACATAGTTGGCATCCAACCCTCAAGAATCAGTGTGGCTTCCCAAGGGATGGGCAAAGCCCAACTCAGAGTCTCTGTAGCCAGTGACCCTAGCTGCAGTGGCAGGCACAAAGGCAAGCAGACCTGTGGGAAAATTTGAATGGCCCGTGTTTATGAAGAGAAGTTCCGTAGCCAGGCTGAGCTTCAACAGGGACTTAAGCAGGAGAAAGCAAGGCAAGACCCTCAGCAAAGACTGGGAAATAAACTGGTTCCAAGCACTTATGGAAATCTCTGTCCAATCATTATTAGCTGACCATTACACTAACCAAATGGAAACTTTATTGGCCACATATGACAAAGAATAGAAACTTTACAAATTAGTTCAGAATAGCAGTCACTAAGCAAACAAACAACATCCACTAAGGAGGAGAGAGAATCTAATTCCCAGAGTTGCCACATTATATTATTTTAAATGTCCAGTTTTCAAAAAAAATTATGAGACATGCCAAAAAGCCAGGAAAGTGTAGTCCGTCCATAAACACACACACACACACACACACACACACACACACACACACACACACAAATCAATAGAAAATGCTGATGTATGCAAGGTTCTTGAGGCAGGAGGGGTGATTTGACAAGCTTTGCCCAATTAGAAGGGTCACATACTAAAAGTCATCACATATATTCTGGGCCCTTAACTGCCAAAGGGCTTGAAAACAACCCTAAGAATTCTCAAAAAATTGGGATGGAAAGTCTGGAACCTGGGAGGTCAGGTCTGTTTCCTGTGGCAGCTCAGTTCCCACTGCCCAGCTTCCACAACCCCCATTAGCACAGACTGACCCCCTGGTCTACACACGAAGTGCGGCTATCTAGAACAGGTACTGTGCTGTGAGGGACTCGCCTCCATCCTCATGTTCCACTCTATGTATCTCCCAGTGAATACAAGCCCACTTTCTGGAGTCTCAGAAAAATGCTGCCTGCAACAGGAAAAGTGAAGTCCAAGGGAGGTGAATATGTTCATGTCCACATGACTGACTCTTCCTCAACTTTAGCAACCCTTAGTTAGCATCTTGCCCAGGACAGGTTTGAGCCCAAGTGAGCTGATGATTGTGAAAGCCTGAAGCCCTTACCACCACCTGGTCCAACAGGTGAAACCAGCAGGATGGCCACTGTCAGAGCATAAGTGAATTTGAAAACAAAGGGCTGGCATGCAACTCTTACTAAAGGCACAGGATTAGGGAGTTGTCTCCCTAATCCAAGGGACCAGGAGTGCCATCAGAGTAAGCAAACAGTAGATGGAGACGGTATGCAAAGGCCAAGTAAAGACGAGAAGAATCGTTTACCCTGAGCCTTTCACAGGAAAGTACAGCTGGACAGAGCCGGAGGGGGACAGCAGGGAAGAAGCTGCAGGCTCCATCCGGGGGTCAGTCATCCCACAGAAGCCTGTGGGTAAATACGGACAAAGTGGATGAGGAGCTAACATTGTTCTCTTTGGGGTGGAGGGTGGCAGGGGATCAACACATGCAAAGAAAGGTACCAACTGTCTAAGTTCCCTGGGATTTGGTCTTCTGTGGTCCCCTGTCCTCTGTCTCTGAGTCAACGATTCCTCATAGGCCCTCCTCCCCTACCCCTTCCAAGTCTAATAAGAGACTTTGCTAAAAGACAAGGAGAGTGCTGGCCAGGAAAGGCTACACCCAACCCACAGCTCAGCACCCAGGGACCCGAGTGCTGGCTCAGTGAGCTTCCCCACATGCCATAGGGCCTGGCCCCTGGGAACAGGTTCCTCCATGCCCAGGGCATGCTCTAGCAGCCAGGAAGGCTTATGGGCGTACCCTAACATTCCATCTCCCATTTCCCAGACTTTCCACCTTCATGTTGACAAACTACTTAGGAGTCAGCCCTCTGTGATCTTGAACTCTGGAACCTCCCTTTGTGCCTTTCACCTTATACCACTGGAAAATACATAGTCCCTTTCTCCCTCCCTCCCACTTCACCTGATCAACACCCTGCATACCTCTGCCCCTGCCCTGCTGCAGATACTGACACTCCCATCCCCAGCATGGACACACCCTCAGCCTGAGGCTTCTCAGCACTCCTTCCCAAGACAGCAAAGCAGCATCACAGTGCAGACCAGGCTGCCAGGCAAACTTCCCAGTCTCTAGTCCCCACAGGAACGGGACCAAATTCTCCATCTTCCTCAAGTCCCTACCTCTCTACTGCCACCCTCATTCCCAAGGGAAGACTGGCTTCCTACATATCAGAAAACAAGTGTCTCGGGCATGAAACCCCTTGGCTTCTCTCCCTTCCATCATTTTCACCCTCTCTGCCTTGGCCCATCTCAGAGGAAGGCAGGTCCTACCTCCTCATCAAGGATCTTGTCCCCTCCAAGCTCTAGCCTTCCCCACTACTCCCAGTCCCACGATTCTTCCAGCCTCCCCTCACTTCTAACTCCTTCCTTCCTTTTATTCTACAACTTGCAAGACATCTAAAAACACCCTGCACCCTGCTTCCTCCACCTCAAGCTACCTGCCTATACTCTCTTCCTCCCTTAACCTCTTAAATTCCTGAAGCTGGCAGCCCTATTTCTACTTCCTTACCTGCTGTCCCCTCCTCAAGCCATTAACTCCATGAGTGTTCACATCTGTGTAACACAGCTGTCCTGAAACTGTCTGATTTTCAAATCAAATACCTACTTGGTCTTTTTGCAAATGGTTTTCTCTGCATCATCTGACATAGTTAACAGATCTGACTTTTGCCTTCCCTGGGGACACTATACTCCTTTTATTTTTTCCCCCTCATAGGCAGGGTCTTTGTTCTATTTCCCAGGCTGGAGTGCAGTGTCATGATCATCGCTCACTGCAACCTCCAACCTCAAGGGTTAAGTGACCCTGCTGCCTCAGTCTCCCAAGTGCTAGGACTACAGGCTTGTGCCATCATCCACCATGCCCAGCTAATTTTTATTTTTTTAATAGAGACAGTATCTCACTATGTTGCCCAGGCAACTCTTGAATTCCTGGCCTAAATGATCCTCTCACCTCAGCTTCCCAAGGTGCTGGGATTACCAGTGTGAGCTGCCACACCTGGCCTACACTCTTCTTAATTTGCCTATTTTTGTCACTCTTTTACCTCTTCTATCATTGACTCCTGTCCCCTAACACACAAATCCAGTACATAAGGGTATATTTTCCCAAGTCCCTTCTTAAGGCCTCCCTTCTCTTTACCCAGTGGTTTTCTTTTTCATTAAATGTTTCATTTTAAGAACAATGTAGGTTCACATGAAGCTGCAACAATGTCAGAGAGATTCTGAGTATCCTTTACCCATTTACTCCTAATGGGAACATCTTACAAACCTACAGCACAGTATCGCAACCCAGACATTCACACTGATACAGCTGGTCCCATCACCACAAGGAACCCCTGTAACACCATTTTATATACACGTCACTTCCCCACCCGTCCCCTGACCAGTGGCTTTTACAGATGGAAATATCTAAAGCACTTGGGTAGCTTTGTCTTAAACTTCTCATACCCACTAAGGGAACACATCAGAATTGGAGATTGGAGGGAAGCTGCCCAGATAATTCCCACACACGCTAACTGACAACAACTGCTCACACTCCCTCATTATCCAGTATCAGATACTCCTCTAGTTTTATTTTTCCTAGTAGACGCTTGCTGAGCATGGATCTGAAGCCTTATGTTCTCCAGAGCAGCCGCTGAGTGTAGCTACTGGCCTACAAGCTACCACCACCAGAAAATCCCACAGCTACCAACACCAACCTCATCCAGCTTCTCTGGCTTGAACCTGGTCCTTTTCTGCTTCTAACCACTGAGTTCATTCGTTCATTTACTGGATGTATTTTTAACTCCTAGAGAGTCCAGGGCAGTGATGGGACATGATGCTCATTTACCCACTTGGCCCAGAAAATCCCAGAATACTCCACATTACCCAGATTTCTGGGCTTTAGCAGGGCTCACAGAACTCATCAATGCTACATGTGTCCATCTCCTCCAGCCTTCAGTGAGCCCCTGTAAAGTGAGTTCCCATTCTGTCTCTCCCGACTCCCCACCACTCCCACACACACATATGGGAAGGCCAGAGTATGGAAACACCCTCCCAGCAAAATCGGGAGCCCCTTACTCACCTCACAGTAAACAATGTCTGCTCCATAATCCAGGGCAAGCAGCCGCATTGGAAGAGTCCCTACCCGAACCATCGGGGCTAGGATGAGCTTGTTGCGGTAGCACAGAGAGAGGCTATTCACAATCATTCCTCCTCTGCACAGCCTGAACAAACGGAAACAAGGGTCAGAAATTCAAATGGAGAAAGTTTCTTCTGTTATCCAGGGCAGGCTTGCCTTTTTCCTTCCAACACACAGTAGTTTGTTTTCCTTTTCCCTGATGATAAAAAAGATACATGCATATTCATTCAGTTAAAAAATATTTATTAAGTGCCTAGTCTGTGCCAGTCACTGTCCTAGTCTCTTGGGATACATTAGAGAACAAAAAAGAATAAAATCCCAGCTCTGGCAGAGTTTTCATTCTAGCAGGAGAACACAGACAAAAAATAACAAGCAAAACAAATAAATGAATGATATAGTACATTGGGAAACTGGTCATGCTATAGAATAAAAAAGAACAGGGAGGGCCGGGCGCGGTGGCTCACGCCTGTAATCCTAGCTCTCTGGGAGGCCGAGGCGGGCGGATTCCTCGAGGTCAGGAGTTTGAAACCAGCCTGAGCAAGAGCGAGACCCCGTCTCTACTATAAATAGAAAGAAATTAATTGGCTAACTAATATATATACAAAAAATTAGCCGGGCATGGTGCGAATGCGTAGTCCCAGCTACTTGGGAGGCTGAGGCAGGAGGATTGCTTGAGCCAGGAGTTTGAGGTTGCTGTGAGCTAGGCTGACGCCATGGCACTCACTCTAGCCTGGGCAACAAAGCGAGACTCTGTCTCAAAAAAAAAAAAAGTCGGCGTGGTGGCTCACGCTTGTAATCCTACACCTTGTCTAGCACTCTGCGAGGCCGAGGCGGCGATTGCTCAAGGTCAGGAGTTCAAACCAGCCTGAGCAAGACCCTGTCTCTACTATAAAATAGAAAGAAATTAATTGGACCAACTATATATATATAAAATTAGCCGGGCATGGTGGCGCGTGCCTGTAGTCCCAGCTACTCGAGAGGCTGAGGCAGTAGGATTGCTTGAGCCAGGAGTTTGAGGTTGCTGTGAGCTAGGCTGACGGCCATGGCACTCACTCTAGCCTGGGCAACAAAAGCGAACTCTGTTCAAAAAAAAAAAAAAAAGAACAGGGAGAAGGGAAAGTGAAAGTGCTGTGGATGAGCTGAAACTTTAGAGAAACTGAGGAAGGTGTCAATGAAAAGATGACATCACAGCAAAGATTTAAGTTGGCCAAGTTGGTATCTAGAGGGAGAATGCACAGCAGAGGAAATAGCCAGTGGAAAGGCCCTGAGGCAGGAGCCTGCCTGTGTATTACAGGAATAGCAAGGAGGCCAACAGGATTGGAGGATAGAAGGGAGGAGAGTAATAAAAGTCAAATACATGATGTAACAGCAGTGAGAAGATAGGACACAACAGTCAGATCACACAGGGCCTGTAGGACTCTCTAAGGGCTTTGTTAGCTCTGCATGTAGTGAGTCAGTAAAGGGTTGTTAAGCAGAGGAGTGGCATGATATGCCTCACATTGCCACATGACGACACTACAGCATTAGGAACACGCTGTGGGAACCAAAAATACATGCAGGAAGGCCAGTTAGAAGGCAATTCAGTAACCACTATGAGAGATGACGGTGGCTCAGACCAGTGAGCTGCTAATGAAGGCAGTCAGAAGCAGTCACATTCTAGAAATACTTTGAAAGTAGCGCCAACAGGAACAAAAAGAAAGAAAGAAAATCAAAATCCCATGTTCCAAAGAGAACTACTATTAACATTAATGTATTTATTCTAAGCAAATTTGGTATCATCTAAACTTGCAGTCCACAACCCCCAGCTTGCGAACTGGTACTGGTTTCTGGCATGTTAGGAATCAGTACACAGAACAGGTGAACAGCAGGCGAGAGAGCAAAGCTTCCTCTGTATTCATAACCGCTCCACATCACACGCCATTCCCACGGTGCCCCACCCACCTCCATCTGTGGAAATGCTATCCTCCATGAAACTGGTCCCTGGTGCCAAAAAGGTTAGGGCCACTGATCTAAAGAGTCACAAAGCTAGCTGGGTACAGTGGCTCGGGGCTGTAATCCCAGCATTTTGAAAGGCCAAGCCAGAAGGATCACTGGAGGCCAGGAGTTCGACACCAGCCTGGGCAACACAGTGAGAACTTGTCTCTAGAAAAAATTTAAAAATTAGCCAGGTGTGCTGTAATCCTAGCCTCTTGGGAGGCTGAGACATGACTTCTTGAGCCCAGGAGTTCAAGGCTGCAGTAAGCTATAATCACACTGCACTACAGCCAGGGCAACAGAGCGAGACCCTGTCTTCAGAAAAAAAGAAAAGAAAAAAAATCACAAAGCTGGACAAGGATTCTCTGCTCAGAGTTGGTAAAACTGTCTCCCCACCTCCAGCCTGGCTTCTGCCTCCACCACTCACCAAAACTGCTCTGATTAAAGATACCAATTACCTGAAAGCTGCTCAATCTCCTAGACCCTAGACCCTTATTTCACAAATAGCACATTATTTTGCTAACAGCATGTGACCTGGGCTCCCCTCACCCCACACTCCTGGTTTTCCTCCCACCTCTGTCCCCTCCTAAAAAGTCTCCTTTGCTGGCTTCATCTCCTCTACTCACATGTGGAAATTCCTCCTTAGTCTTTGGCCCTTTTCCCTTCTAATTCCACACATTTTCCCTTGCAAATTTATTTACTCCCATTGATTAAAATATCAGCTATTTGCTGGTGATCTCCAAAAGTATCTTTACCTAATTCCAACTGCTTACAACACACCCCACCCCAGATGTCTCATGGGGATCTCATATTAAAATATGTCCACAATGAAGTCTTAATCTTCTCTCCAAGCCTCCTTCTCTGTCATTTATTGATTCAACATATGCCAGGGACTGTGGCTAGCACAGCACATAGAATTGTGAGAGGGAAAAAATGATACAGTAGAAGACAGGGGTGTATAAGAGGAACAGACAAAGGTGTGCAACAGTACAACAGTACACAGCTATGAAGGAGTAGGTGCATGAGGCTATGAGAGCTCATCTCAGCACGGAAGGGACTGGTGAGGGGTAAGGAGGGATTCTCTTGAGAAATAATCTCTGATCTAAGATCTAAAGGGAGTGGTGTTACCAGCCAACACATGGGGGGACATCTCTCCCATGTCACTTATAGCAGCTCCATTCACCCTGTTACCCTTAAACCACACTCCCCACACCCAATCCATCACTAATTCCCATTGAAATAACCTTCAAACCTAAATTCTCGGCCAGGTGCGGTGGCTCACCGAGGCGGGTGGATCGCTCGAGGTCAGGAGTTCCAAACCAGCCTGAGCAAGAGTGAGACCTCGTCTCTACTATAAATTAAAAAAAGAAATTAATTGGCCAACTAATATATATAGAAAAAAAAATTAGCTGGGCATAGTGGCACACGCCTGTAGTCCCAGCTACTCGGGAGGCTGAGGCAGAAGGATTGCTTGAGCCCAGGAGTTTGAGGTTGCTGTGAGCTAGGCTGCCGCCACGGCACTCACTCCAGCCTGGGAAACAAAGCGAGACTCTGTCTCAAAAAAAAAAAAGAAAAAAAAACCTAAACTCTCATCCCCCTGCTTTGCTCCATCTCCACCACCACCGCCTTGCACCAAGACACCTCATGCTCACCTCTTTTTTCTTTTATTTTTTTTTATCATCTGGCAGCTGAGAACTGTGCTAACGTCGTGCCAGGACCTCAGCACTCCACAAATCAACCCTCGCCCCCTCCCATCCCTCTCTCGGCAAGAGGCACCTTAGAAAGGCAGCTCTGCTACTGCTCCTGGTTTATATCCTTCAATGGTTTCCACTGAGTTTAGGACAAATCCCCAAACCCTTCTAATTAATGGCCACAAAGCTCTGCAGGATCAGTCCCCACCCACCCTCCAGCCCCACCTTGCAACCCTCCCCCTCCGTGTCTCTGCTCTGACCACCCTGGCCACCTTTTATAGTCTCCCACACCAAGCTCTCTGCTGTCCTGGGGCCTGCCCACTTGCATGCAGTTCTCTGTCTAGAACACCTTCCCAGACTCAGTCACGCATGCCTACACTAGGGTCCCCTTGTCCTTGAATACCCCCTTTGTGAAGCTGCATCTCTATTAATATAATCAACTTCAGGTCCCTGGTCACACGTTCTCTCCCAACACCCTGTGCTGCTCTGTGGCTCAGTTACAATCCGTGTGTCCACACTGACTGGTGGGGTTTCTTGTTCACCCCCTAGCTCCCGGTCTAGACCACTAACAAGCTCCACAGGACAGGAGCACAGCCACTTAGTTCACTGCCAGGTTTCTAGCACTGAGTCCAGTACCTGGCCTTGACTGGCTATCTTGTGAGGTGTGACTGAACACACCTCTCTGGTGGCCAAGAAGACACTCACTTATTCAATGTTTCATCTAGGAACTCCTTCCTGCACTGTCAGAGATGTCTGACGTGTCTTGCCTCCAAGAAGTCTCCTCTCAGAAGAACTAGACAGCCCCCATGCCTTTCCCAGTAACTGTTACAGTCACTCACCCCTCCCAGAAGTCATGCCCAGATCACCATTTTAGTCACTCATCCTCAGACAATCCCTTGTGCCTTTCCTTTTAAGGGCAGGTCTCCTCTGTTACTCCCAGTTTCTTTCCTAGACAGTAACCTTAATTTTAGTTATGGGGACACAATGTCCTGTCAACCAACAAAAAAGACATCACAGAAAAATATCTCCAAATGTGCTGAGTGTATTCAAGAATGAGAAAAGAGGATTACAATCCAGGATGCAAGAATGGCAAATGACACATGCATCAGGCAAGGGAAGGGTAAAAGGAAGATTTTATTGGCTAATGGGGGGAGGGGGGGGTTGTGTAAGATGCTTAGAAACAGAGTTCATTGATTCCAGAGTCTCAAGGCCAGAATTGTCTTTCGTTCACAGGTAGAGATGGCATTACCAGACAAGTGTTATTTTGAGAGCATATCATTTGAATTACTGCAGTCGAGAAGAATGTCTAGTGATAAACCTTGCCATACAAATATACCTATATGTGCAAAACCTGCAAGCCATGCAAAGCAGATTTGTGAAAGATGGGACAGGATTTCTTGTGGGATTTGTACAAATCCCTTGAAAACAGTTCTTATCTCAGACACGTAAGCACAAGCCCCCTCTCCTTTGTGCCTTTGCAGACCTATTTTGTCTGGGTCTGATGAAATTGATTTTATCCTGGTATCTGCAA